AAAACCACGAGATAGAGGACAGAACATGCACAGCCGAGAAGAAAATAGAAGACAGGTCGGCATGCAAAAAGAAAACAAAGCATGCACATTGTAGGCCTAAGTACATTTGGTCTTTGGAGGGTTGCGAGCAAAAGCAGTTACTAACGCACTACGGTGTGCATCCAAAACAACTATGAACACAATGAGAATAAACAATACGCGTATTATGGACCCAAAAGCTGAAGCTAATACATTTAAACGCATATACCCAGTCACACGCCGGAGTACACGTTTCCAGAACGCATCTGCAAGAACACGTCATAGACATGTGTAGGGTTTTGATTAGTGTACCCACCTCGCCTGACCGCACATTAGGAAAACGCTGAAACCCCACGAGAGAACAACAGATATGCCATGGACAACGTTAGGCTTTGGTGCATATGAACTCGCTAAAATGCCGTATTAATACGGATCCGTTTAAATAGAAACGAACGAGCAAAATACAATTAAGTGCCAGTGAAACTCGACAAGTAATACGACAGGTATGACTTAAAAACCTGCACCTAAGAAAATGTGTGGAAAATACGAACAGATGCATGCATGCAGATACGGAAAAGTACAGGTGGAACGTTAACAATTAGACTATTTTAGAGCCGTATCTGCTTGCAAAATTTGCGGTGGTCGCAAGGCGATGTGTAATATAAATGCCGTTGTAACAAATTGTACTTGATACCAAAGAAAACTTAATAGACTCGAAACTCGCTGGGAAGACCCACTTAAATTCGATAGACAACAAATCGATACCTGATTCCAAGCACAGCCGGTTGAGGAGGACGATTAATTCACATCATGCTCGACATACCATGACAAGTCAAATTGTTTGGCGAGCGTTATCGTTCTTCTGTGTAAGCAAGGCATTTCGTTAAATTCCCAAGGCCGGGCTCGGCTGCGACACGTGTGACTTGGATGACCAAAAATTTCAGCGCCGTCCTTCCTTTTCGGTGGCAAATTCGCAATGCTCAAAAAATACCGATTCCATAGATTAGGAAATGAATAGATGGCTCACTCCTTTGATGTTTTTGACGCTGCCGGCACCCACGCATGTTCTTGCCAGAGTAATGGCGGCCTAGTAAGTAACTTTATCGCTTCCTTTTCTTAACACTATGTCAGCAAGATATCCTGCAACGATTAGCTCTGTTTTCTGTGCGCGAACATTGCGCATTTGACCAAGTCAGACAGCAACTGGAATAATTATGGCAATGTGCGTCTTGCGCAACGCACATGCCGATTTATTAATTTTTTAAAACAATGAGATAATTATTAACATAACAAATTATAAACCGAAGTTAATTATTAAAAGTTCGCACAGAAAAGGTGGGGTAATAAATACGCCCACCATTTAGAAATTAATCTAATAACTAAACTAACTTACATATGTAATAATATTGCGTCAAGTAACGGGGAGGAGGGTGGGATATCAATTGACTTCAGCCAGAGAGTTGACCTTGCGCGACCAGATTGAAGAGTAGAATGAACTGATGCACATACTGCAGTAGATTATATCACCACTCCTATCCGCTTCCTGCGCATTACATTCATGTGACTACAAATTATCGGGGCTAATACCCACGTGTTCCATTACAATAGCTCCCTATCTCTAAAACTAGATGCAGGAAGCAATAAAATCTTTATTGGTATGCCAATAATTCCTGTAGTAAAATGCATTGTGAAATTGACATCCGTGCTACTAAATCCTGTATTTTTTCGCTTTCGGGGGTTTGAATGGAAAAATAAATCAGAATTATAAAAATAAAGGATTTAGTAGCACCGATGTCAATTTCACAATGGATTTTACTTTTGTTACTTGCTAGGCCGCCATTACTCTGGCAAGAACATGCGTGGGTGCCGGCAGCGTGAGGAGTGAGCCATCTATTCATTTCCTAATCTATGCCGATTCTGTTCTACTTTTATACTGTCTGACAATCACGTGGTGTATATGGATGACTAACTGATCATCTCATACATGGGATAGTCTAAATGGCGCGGGTCGCGAGTCAATAGATCATGGCGCGGGTCCAGCGAAAATGGCGCGAGTCCAGCGAACATGGCGCGGGTAACAAGTTCCGAGGCGCGAGTAAAAAGTTCCGAGGCGCGGGTAACAAGTTCCGAGATCAATTACCCGGTACTAAATATATTCAAGATGGCGGCTATTTTGACTAAAAATTCTGCAATTATTCGGTCAAATATCGTCTCTTTCTGTGGAAACTCTGCGAGCTTCAAACTTAAACTAACAGACATCAATTAACTTAAGCAAATCACGTTTGAAGGCGTTATATTCTGCATATTTTTAAACGCAAAGAGAGTGAACAGTTGGAATGTTTGGATGGAGTCTGTCACTGTCAGTATATTTAATAATTTTATTAATTTATATACTGTAAATACTAATCTGTTAAATAAGGTAAAAAGATAATTAATCAAAATTCTCTATGCAATTTTGGTTAGAAAACCCCCACAATATTCTAAGCATTTTTTGCGGCTTAAAAATTATAGTATTTATACCAGTTAACCAGTAATCAGTATTTAATAATTTATGAATTGCCTGATTCATATACTGTATGACATTTTTAATAATTTAATTATATGATCAGTTTGACATAATTCTGAATGCATTTTATAGCCTGGTCGTTGACCAGGGCCGAAATACATGCTAATATCTAATAAATTGAGTGTGAAAGTGCCTTTCTGACAATTTTTGTACAACTTACTTACTAAGTGCTTCTGCACAAATAGTGTTCAGGCCCATCTACACAATACGACTAGTCATATACGATTCTTATCCTGTAGATGGGCCTTTACAGTACAGCCATTATGCGTGAATCAATTCTTTCTGTTACCATCCTCCCCCCGGGCAACCCCCGGGACAATGCAAAAAAAACTAATCCCAGGGGTAGGGAATTGTTTGAATAATTTTGTCCCGGGGGTTACCCCCGGGTAAAAAGCAAAGAACCAAACAAAAAATGCCAGAGGTCAACCTAATAAGTCAATCTCATACTTAGGACTTTGTTTGATTGCACATCAAAATGGCGGCTATAAACTCTTTTGCTGGAATGTCCTGCGAATTTGCGAATAGGAGCAATATAAATAGAAAATGTATTTCACAATCCTGCAGTCTGCTAAATTCTTGTACGTGGAATTTTAATGAACATATTAAATTCTGTACTATCGTTAAAAATAACATTTTGTATAATTTTTTACGCATTTCAACGCCTTATAGACGTTATACTGTATGTGTGTTCCGCCAAGGGTTTCAGTTACTAATTTTGCGTTTATTGATATCATGCCCCGGGGTGGGGAATTGTTCATTTTGAAAGGCCCGGGGGTGGGGAATTTACTACATGTTTAGGAAAAAAGTACAAATCCCGGGGATATTGCCCGGGGGGGGGGATGGTAACAGCTGGAATTGATCGATGCATTAGTGTTAATTTGAGCTTGTATTTTGAATGCTTTGTTACACAAGTCTAACCAGGGCCGGAACTACGGGGGGAGGGGTGAAATTTTATCAGTCGCCAGGACTGCCATCTTGGTCGGCAAAAGTATGCAGGGGGGTCAGTCGGTTGAAATGACCTTAAATTAAACCCCCCTGGAAAAAAAACTTTTGGGGGGATGATCCTAGTGCATTCATTGTAATTTGTAAACATTAAGTTATCACTGTTAAACTATTTATCATTGCAAAAATGATGGACTGGCTTGCCTTGCTGAATTTCATCATTTTTGCAATGATGTCAATGATAAACAGTTTAATAGTAATAATTTAATGTTTACAATATAAACATTTGAAAATCATTGGAGGTACCTACCTTGAAAATCTGTCAAGCTGCATAAAAGTCCAATGAGATGGATCATTCAGGGCCCGCGGAGCGTATTAGAGAGTGGGGGGGCTAAAGGGTGAGGTTTAATTAATTAATTTAGAAAGTTTCATTTAGATTTCTATTTTAATAATTTTGGCTGTCAAAAAAAGTGGGGGGGCTAAAGTCCCCCCAGCCCCCCGTCTCCGCGGTCCCTGTCATTACCAGAAATATGGGACAAGATGGCGACGGACATGCGCACTTTGACCAAATATGGCGACCAAATATTACTATAAACTATATGGGAGTTGATCAAAATATCAAATTTTAATATACTTTGTTTAAATATTTCATGGTTGCGGAGCTCGCTTATAGTAGCGACACGAACAAGCAATATATCTAAACAAAAATCGCTAGTATTGCACCGCGTCTAGCAGGTTCCTGAGAATGTTGTATTTTTACACGCAATTGGATGAATTTCATAGTGTAATTTATAGTAAACTTGTGACACAAGAGGTAAATATCCGACGAATAGACCAACATCCATTCGGACGATGCAAAGTGCGGAGCTCGCGATATATTTAATGATGTCCAAACTGTTAATTTAGCTAAATAAATCCGCTGTAACTTCCAGGGAAACTGGTTCCCGAAACGTTTAAAAGTTCGCCTTTTTACGGTTCTTGTATGTCGCCATTAAGCCATCTTAATATCCAAAAACGACAGGTTTTAATACAAATTTGAGCTGTTTCGAGCAGCCATGTTTCTTGTTTATTTGGAAGGACTAGATCCCAGGCTCTCACGTAAAAACACAGGGATATTTTAGGATTTTTTAGGATATTTGCAATATTTTTAGTCTTGATAAAAATTTGCGGGGTTAAAGGTCGAAATACCGGAAGTCATCAGCAAAAACTGCAAAATATGGTTTAAAATCGCAGTTTTTGGTTGAATAATACTTGAACTGGAGATTCAAAGTAAAATGCGAAGTCGAATTACTTATATTAGGCAATGTTGGGCATATAAAACGGACTTAGCCGCTGACTACAAAAGTGGGAGCAAAATGTCCCATATTTCTGGTAATGTTTGGTCAAAATAAAACACAATTTTCATGTATTAATTAATTAAACAATAATTTGTTATCATCGTTATTACATTATTTTAGTTAAGATAAAATGTTTAGATAAACCTCAACCAAACAAAGTCCTAAGTATGAGATTGACTTATTAGGTTGACCTCTGGCATTTTTTGTTTGGTTCTTTGCTTTTTACCCAGGGGTAACCCCCGGGACAAAATTATTCAAACAATTCCCTACCCTCGGGATTAGTTTTTTTGCATTGTCCCGGGGGTTGCCCGGGGGGAGGATGGTAACAGAAGGAATTGATTCACGCATAATGGCTGTACTGTAAAGGCCCATCTACAGGATAAGAATCGTATATGACTAGTCGTATTGTGTAGATGGGCCTGAACACTATTTGTGCAGAAGTACTTAGTAAGTAAGTTGTACAAAAATTGTCAGAAAGGCACTTTCACACTCAATTTATTAGATATTAGCATGTATTTCGGCCCTGGTCAACGACCAGGCTATAAAATGCATTCAGAATTATGTCAAACTGATCATATAATTAAATTATTAAAAATGTCATACAGTATATGAATCAGGCAATTCATAAATTATTAAATACTGATTACTGGTTAACTGGTATAAATACTATCATTTTTAAGCCGCAAAAAATGCTTAGAATATTCTGGGGGTTTTCTAACCAAAATTGCATAGAGAATTTTGATTAATTATCTTTTTACCTTATTTAACAGATTAGTATTTACAGTATATAAGGCCACATAAAAAAAATAGTTGGTTAGCGTCCCCGCCCGCCCACAAAAAAGGCCCCGCTCAGGATTTTTTTTTATTTTTTATTTTAAAAAACCCGACTTTTATTGATCAAAGGGCTCTAATATATGTAGTATTTATGTTGACTGTTGTCAATTGTGTTAATAATTTGCGAAATTGCGTGCGAAAATGACGGTATGGATTATATTTTGAAATATATAAAAAAGTATCTGTACTGCGCAAGAAAATCCAGTTTCAGACCTAACACTCTAACAGTGAGTAAAACCAAGCGGTTAAAAATTAGTAAAAATTAAAAAAAAAGCGCCCGCCCGCCCACTTTTTGGCAAAAGCTAAGGACGCTAACCAACTATTTTTTTTTATATGGCCTAAATTAATAAAATTATTAAATATAATGACAGTGACAGACTCCATCCAAACATTCCAACTGTTCACTCTCTTTGCGTTTAAAAATTTGCAGAATATAACGCCTTCAAACGTGATTTGCTTAAGTTAATTGATGTCTGTTAGTTTAAGT